AAAAAAAAAAAAAAAAAAAAGAAAAATTGATGTTTTGGGGGCTTGGGCTTGGGGTGGGGGTGAAAACTTGAAAAGAATGTGTTGTCATCGGTACCGCCTCTTTGAGCAAAGTTTATGCTTCTTCTTTTTCTATATCTAGAGGCACTTGAGGGCCCCACGGTCAATGTGTTGATCATGCTGGCTCCTATTGGTTGACGTGAAGTAGGTCAATTTGCCGCCCAAAGATTTCGCCCGCCACCCAGCCAGCCATCAACGAACAAGAGCGAATTAAATATAAATGGATTTAGAAAGGACAATTCATAGACAGACAGATGGAACCGGTGGAACTACAACATGTCCAAGTCCACAGAAGGACGACGCACATTTCGGAATCTCACACCATCTAAAACAAGGAGTAGGGCTAAAATATAATGTATTTGATTTGTAATAGAGATAATTGAACTATCTTCTATTACTAATTGAATAGCACAAAATTTTCGTATCCATAATTTCATGGAGGCCTGTGCCCATAATTTGTGAAGCGGGTTTCGCTAACGCGCGTTATTTAAGAGTCGCGTTATATTTGTATAATAAATGTATTTAGTACATTCTAACTTTCATAGAAATCCCATAACAAGAAATATCTTCGTAAAAAAAAAAACATGAAAAAAATCAAATTATTTGTCAGTCACGCTTAGAAGTACCCAGTTTGACAAACATCTTACGGACATTATGAGGCATGGTTTTCATCCACGATCTATAAAATAGTATCTACCAGAGAGGAGTGGAAGAGGATAGTTTTCACGTCATCTGTGGCGCCGCAGCGGCTCAAGGACTAAGAGACGTGATGATGATGATCTACCAACATGACTTGCCAAACTTAAATCAAGTCGCCAGGACCCAACCCTTCCACAAACCAATTAGATCTCGCCTTTTAAACATTTTTTTTTTTTAAATAGTCAAATAATTAATGATTTCTGGTTAGCTGGCAGAAAGAAAAAAATCTACTTCGAAGGGACCCTGCTCTGATGGTACCCTGATCCGATGGTACCCTGCTCTGTTTATTTAGTAACACTTTGTTCTGGAGGCAATCTGCTATGGTAACGACCTGGACTTGTAGTTTACCCTGATCTGATGGCACCCTGGTCATGTAATTAACTGAGTTCTGTTTTGAAATCGACTTCGGCGAACACTATAAACTTTGTAATGGTTCCATTTGGTGTTACCCCCCACCCCACCGCACTTTTTGAGAATTTGTCATACGATGCGATCCGCAGTTCGCAATTCCTAGTGACGCTACTGCATAAAATATCGCGTGATTATGCTCCTATAGACTATAGAATATTGTACAGGGTTTCTTTCAGGCATACTTTAAATAAATTATAATTTTTTAATTAAAAAACTACCGGTACTTAATTTATTTGTTATAACGTTTTTTTTTTTTAAAGTAAAAGTGCGCCATTCATCGATTAAAATTAATGAAATAAAAAAAAAATCGCTTTATTCGATATATATTGAGGATCCACATTGCTCAGATTAATCTTGTTACAGGCTCATAGAATTCGATTACAAATATCGTATTATTTTGAAAATTAGCCGGTCCTGTTCATAAACCAAAAATTTACTTTTTGTTGTTTGCATTTATCAGCATTTTTATTTATTTATATTTTTCTGCTTCATAAGTTGAAAGACTTAAATAACACTTTATTAAACTAACTTTACATCGATATAAAGGTCTATAAATTAAAATAAATTTGTTGCCAAGTTTTAAACATGTGCAGTCTGTTTTCAAATTACATTTCATCATAAAAGCATGACTGTTAAAATAGAGATAAGTGTTAATTACAAAACGTATAATAGCATTAGGCTTTTAAAAATTCGTTTTAATCATGCATTTTAATGTTCTCGATTACATCCATGTATATTGAGTTAGATCAAATCAAAACTTACAACAAAGGAAAAATGATATTTTAAAACAAAAATGAGGAATTTAACGTTTGCATACAAATAGAGGAAGGTTCATCAATTATTATTAAATCTAGTGCGTTTCTAATTTTGTAACACAGTTTCGGGAACAACAGAGTAAAATGAAGTTGCTTTTTTAAAATTATTTTTTATCATGTTTTTAAAATCACATAAAGTCATAGATTAATAAATATATGATGTCTTCTAGACACAAACCATGACTTTATTATTAACGTTATTATGCCGGTTAGGTACGATTTATAAAAAAAAATATCAATTTTGAAAATCCATAAACACGTATTGCCCTTTCTATACAAAAGAGTCTTTTTTTTTTCCCTTTGACTTTGGTAAAGCTTGGAAATTATTTAGAATAAAACGTATGCTTTTGGTTTCTCTTTTTCGTTCAACATGTAACATTACTTTAGCAATTCTTATTTGTGATGGACACCTTTTTTGGAAGGACTGTGTTTTATCCTTTTAAATTTTTTGTTAATTCATGTATTTTTTAAAGTAGTTTATCCCAAAAACTAAAAAAAAAAAATTACTATTCAGTAATATAAAAAAAATATATTTGTATAACACACTTGGTCAAGTGACTTTTTGTGGCCCCCTTGCTAATTTTCAGTTTTGTCCTTCCTTACCTAGCATTAAATGTTGATAATTAAGAGTATTTACAGCCCATAAAATATACGAGGCACAGGCTGCTGTAAAGCCTGCTGAGCCCACATGATGGCTCTGAGGTCAAGTGACACCTAAAATCTTAAATAGCATATCTCCTGTTGCTCTCCACTTAAGTATATAATGATGCAAAACTAAATTTAACTATGTAAATTATCAAAATGTTCCGGGGACTAAAAAGATTTAAGGGGCGAGACTAAGCTACGCAGGATCTTTAAGGGCCCCCAACTTAATTGAACTTTGTTAATAATGGGCTGGTAGAAGAGTTAGAGATGTCCCTGTTATTATGGCTATTTTTAGCGCTTCCCATCCAAATTTTGAAATGTCTTCACATAGGGCCCAGGCCCGCTTCACCACATCCTTCCATTCGGATCGATCATGTCTTTCCACCTCTATCCGCGAAAATCCCAGGTGCTACTGTGGCTGGCTTTATAAGTTCCTGATGGTTGCTGTTAAATTCTGCACTACCTCTCTGGAATTAGTTTGTAATGGCTGAAACTGGTGCTCACATGTATGTTTCTATTGCCCTTTTCTAACGTAATATTGAAAAAGAATACATGCATCTTTTTGTATGAGGCCCTGATTACTTTGGAACTCCCTCGAGTACTCCCTGTACTTTGATTCTACTTTTGGAGTTAGCCATCGCCATATGTAAGAGTCGGTTAATTTTGTTAGGGACTCCCTGAAGAGCATTGTACAGGTATTTTCTGTCTAAGCTATCATAAGCTCTTTTGTAGTTCACATATCGTTGGTGTATTTTGATGCTGTATTCAAACAATTTCCCTAGGAGACGTCTAATAGTAAAAATATGAAAGTCTGAAATGCCTTTTCACACATTTTCTGAAAGAAACACTGAATTTAAATGTGCACCAATTTGAATCACTGCATTTTGATTTTTTTTTTTAAATTAAGGAGACCCTTGGCCCCGCTTTTTCTCAAGACTCTTTGGATTTATCAATTTCTTCTACCCCCTTCCTTGACGTCGATCAATGTTACTTAACGGGGTTGAATCTAATCTTGTGTCAAATGATTATCTTGGGTGCACCACAACCAGAATGAATTTAGTTTATGTATTGCTCTGGGGGCCATAATGCCCCCCCCCCCGACGCCTGAAAAATTATTTTCTCTGATTAAATAGTCTTATTGAAACATTCAGATCATATATACTCCAAAATGCACCTCTTGATTTTTAAATATAACACAATGACAGGCAATTCAGGCTCATACCAGCAAGAAGCCAGTATAGGAGCTGCTCATTCCTGCCCAAGACAATCAGGGACTGGAACAATCTTTCAAAAGGAACGGTTGAGGCGACAACACTAGACACATTTGTGTCTATTGACTCAAGCCTTCAAACCCCTAGTGCATGATTCCCTCACAAAGTGGCACTGGAAATCAGTGAAATTTCCTCATTAACACCAGGAACAGAAACATTGCAAATCCCATCTACATGCATAGGAGCCAAAATGATCAATAAATTGATCGTGGGCCCTTAAGATATAGAAGAAGAATTAATAAAATTAATTTGCATATCTGAAGTACAAAAATCTAATATTTAAATTGTTTTTTAAAATAATTTTTAATTTAGAAGTTAATCAAAATATTATGTTAAAATTACTTCAAAAATATAAAACTCTATCCCTTCAACTGCTTTATGAAGAATTCAATACTTAAAAAAAGTAATATACTTGCATATTTAAATTAATATTCAAATGCTTATTCTTTGACATTATCGAGCTTAGATGTTTTGAAATAAAAGCGTCCCGTAAACTTCTCACCAAAACATTTTTTTTTTGACATGGCGATATGAATGATCTGGCAGTTCCGGAACCCATGATTGAGTTACTAATAACAAGATGGCGATCATACCTGCAACTTGGGACATGTACGATCTGATTCAAGGGGTCTTACAGGTAATGAGTGTAGTAATTTTTAAAAAAAATTGTTATATTTTCTTTTAATAGTTCTATTGATCCAAATATTTCGTATTATCTCTAAATTGTTTTATTTTTTGTCAAAAGGATTGTACTTCAAGGCAATTATCGCGATTCATGTCAACAAATTATATAAAAATTATTGAATTATTTATAATTATTGAAACCTGTTGCTGAGAGCGTTGCTTGGATTCATTGCCATTTATCTAAGTCAACAACGTATTTCCGCTTAAAAGAAAATTAGAATGGATCCCTATCAATTATGAAGTTATGGTTTTTCAAGTCTTTTGAGACAGAGGGGCTCAGACTCATTCAGATTCAGAGTATTTTTCACAAGCCCACCACTAATAATAATTAAATTAACTTAGTGACACTGGGCAAACAAAATGTAGGCCTATACAAAATATAGTAATTACTCTACAAATATATATATCTACTACCTCCAGTAATATAGATTAATTATTATTGGAGGACATTGAATTAATTAACTCATCATTACAATCTTTAACTTTATGAATCAAAGTAAAACGGATTTGTTAATTGTAAGCTGTTCTGTAGTTAACTGGAGGAAATAATTTAAGTTGAAAGTTAATATATTCTTGGAAATGTCTACAAAAATGAGAAAAAGTAACTGATTGATTTTGAGTTGGCCGTAGCGGTAAGGCTGGTATTGTGTTCCATGTTATATAGAGGTCATGGAGGTTTCCCCCAGTCAACTTCCATCTATAGGTCCATATTTAAAAAATTTAGATTTTTTGATTTGCGTTTATTTGATGCAATTTTTTTTTCTACTTTTCTATCTTTGTCTTGAAAGTGTGGGGAAGTGTTCTCACCGCCTCAAAAAGTTATGGTAAAATTTCAGTTTATATGGCACTTGGACATGATAGAAATGAATAGCTTATGGCATATGATCGGTTCTTTGATTTTCAACCAAACAAAAGAAAGCACATCTTTTTTTTCCCCCACAGGTTTTCATCTTGTGGTATCAGCAAGGATGCGTTTCTTTTTTCATTTGTTTTGAACCTTGTTATTTTAATTTTACTGAAAATGAATTGAAAATTTCATTTTAATATACTTCACTTTAACTGTATCAATCGTCAGATTTAGTTTATGAAGTGAGTAATACTCAGGAAAGAAAAGTTATCAAATGCATCATTCCAGTCCAACATTGGTCTGTGGTCTATTAACTCTAAGTCCAGTGTTGGGATTCCCCAATGTGACATCAATGTAGTTAGAATGAGTCTACTCTTAGCAAAACCCATATGGCTAATCCAAAATTTATCAAATAATTGAACTAGATTGTAATATTACAACAGCAAGTGATAATAATTTTCAAAGCAATTATCATTCAACATCACTAAATGTGATACTCATTTTAAACATTGACTTAAAAAGCAGATTCAGACCTGCCAACCCTTCCGATTTTGTCGGAATTATACAGATTTTTTACCCCTCATTCCGACCTTCCGACAAACCCCTTGAATTTCTGATTTTTCTAACTTTATAATTTTTCACCCGTCAAAAAAATCCGAAAGCGAAAATCCGAAATAAAACCGGGTACGACAGAAAGTGTTGCATTTGTTTTTATGAAGTGTCTACATGTTCAGTGACCAAACGAATAACTGAATAAATTCTCTCGGTACTTCATTTCAACAAATTTAAGATAGTCTGGGCATTTACATAAAAAGAAATATTTTCAATTATAAAAAAGAAATAATAGAACCATATAAAATGAACAATTGGTTAACTCATTCCCTCCTGCAATGCTACTTCCGTATTTAATTTATTTGCCTGAGAAAGGGAAGTAACCCTGTTTTGAAATTGTTTACATTTTTAAAATATTTATTTAAGCTACTAAATATTATTTAATGTTAACGAATTAAGAACAAATGCAACAAAAAATTAATAAGGTTTAATATAAATATAACATTAGCGGGGGAAAAATAACGAGCAATGACCAAAAAATCGATTTTCGGCACCTCGGACGAACACATGCTACATATAGACGCGCCGTATTAATGCACACGTAGTTTTAAAGTGAAACTAGATAAAAACTTCCGGTTTTTAAATTAAAATCACGCTGAACCACGCCATCGCTGGAAGTCTCGAGGGTTGCAAGATTTCATTGCTATTTTTCAATAGATATGAGAGAGGTGTGTTGCTATGCGCCGGGACGCATTTGGACGCATCCGGCGAAACCCATAAAAGAGGCATTTAGTCGCAAACGTCGTGAATGAGTTAAAAAATGACAATGTTTTTATATAAAGCGTGGCACGCCCACCGGATTAATTTCTCCCGCACTATTTGTCCAGTCGCCTAACATATAGACACTGCCTTGATTTTATCGAAGCGAACCGCGATCTTCAAATCATTCTCCAATCATCAATTGATCCGATCGCGATTCAACCTTTTTACAAGGCTAAAAAATAATTCAGACTTTTTTTTTTTGTTAAAGCTTTTCTTAATTAAATGGTTAAATCTATTGAAAGTGGTGGGTACAATGATAGTAATAAACATTGAAGGAAATATTTCTCTAGCCCGATCGTTTTAATTTTGATGCCAGAGTCAAAAAAATGTTTCCAGACTTACAGAATGCTAGAAGAGTGTAAAGAAAAATTACAATGAAACGAGGGCAAGCATGAAAGTTTATACTTTTTCTAACTTGCTTGTAACTAAAATCAACGCAATGCTAACCTTCAGTTGTCCAAAGAGCTATTGGACAAGTGCAAAAAGGCCACTATCACTAGGGATATGCTCGAATACCGAACTCTTACAAAAAGAGTCTTAGCAGCCTGTGTGTGTGTACATATGTAAATAAAATGGATCTTCTGTTCTGTACTGTATATATCTGTATATAAAAATTTCCAGTAATGTTCACCTCATATTCGGTGGTGTTTTATGGACCCTTCAAAGACAATGGAGGTAACTTTATATTTCTTTATTTCATAAAAAAGGCATGTGCATTAGTATATAGATCTTAAACCAACCCCACCCCCACGGGACGCCTCTCCTGGGGGGCAGCGGCCCCACTTCCCCCCCTGCATGCAATCCACTACAGATTCTTTTTTCTTGGCAGGTCTGCAGATTTAAACAAAATTAAGTTATTCTAATTTTTTAAAATAATATTATATTTGTTTTTATTTGTGGTAAGTATTTTAACAATATTTATTATTAATGCAAGTGTGATTTAAGCTGTGAGTAGCTTCTAACCTCAGTGAATTATTTTCATGCTTCTATAAGCTGATTGTGGTAGGGACTTTTAAAGTCAGTTTTTTTAGTTACGTTTTTTAAAGGGTAGATCTATATTTTCCTCTCTAGTAGTGAAATTCTGTTGAGTATTATATTAGAATTGATTTTAAAAAATGTTCTTTTTTTTTTCTTCAGGCCCCTTGGTATCATATTGTATTTGAAGTCGCCCTGGTTTTTCTTATCTTAAAGATATATATATCACAAAGTTTTACGCCTGATAAAACATTACTCACAGAGAAGGTTTGCATTTACATTGATTTTTACACAGACGTTTTTGTTAAAAAATGATTTCATTAATTTTACTTTTTATATCTTTAAAAAAAAAATTATAGCAACAATACAATGCATTTTCTTAATATAATTTTTAAACAGCTGCCCTACTGAAGTTTTAATAAATTAATGAAACAAATATTTTTTTCTATTTAATTAAAAAAAACTTTTATCAAATATTACACATCTTTTACATTATATTTAATATGTTTAATGTTGGAAATTGATACATCATTGTTAAAATTCTTTTAACATTTAATTAGGAAAAAGATATACTTGTGGAAGAGTGGCAGCCAGAACCTTTGGCTCCAGATGTACCTGATGATCATCCTATACTGCAGTCAATGGAAAAATATTGCATAGAAGGGTTAGTTTAAAAAAGTAAATTACGAACACATTATTTTATTAGAGAATGCCTATTGTAAGATTATACTCTGGTAATATAAAAAGTTTTGTTTTAAGATACGTGTCACTGCAAGCAGGGCCTGATCTGAGTAAAATGAATGTTAAGGTAGAGGTTTTTGCAAAATTACCTTAAACTACCCTTATCAAATTATAAATTGAAACTATTTTAAAAAGAGTTATTCTAAAAAAAAAAAATTGTTTTGTAGAATACCTAGATTTGGTCTCTATAACAATCGAACACAGTTAAGTCGACGGCCTCAGGGTTTGCCAAAAAGCGTCGAGATAACCGATGATCGAGATGAACAAAAACCAAAATGGCGGCAATATATTAACATGTGCTTTAAATTTCTTTATGTACATGATGTGTGTTTATAAATGAGAATGTGCATGCACATGTTTTTGGATTTTAAAAAAAAGTTTTTTTTAAAGATAACGGCATTACCCCGATTTGTTTGATGAATTGATCGGCGTGCGATAAAAATGTACATACTTGTTTGCTAACAACACAAGGCATATATGGGGTGCCACTTTTCCGGATTATCCCGGAATTCTGGATGTGTGAGACTAAAAATTGTTCAGCTCCGGATTCTCGAGTTTTTATTTTCTTTCGCTCCGGATTCGCCAGTTCAATTAACTCAAATACGGATTCTGGGTTTTAAAAAAAATTAACATGTAAGAACGCGTGAAAACCTATTAAGCGACAAGCGGTTTCGCTACAAATAGAACAGGTACCGCGACCTCTCTCTTTTGTCTGCAAGTGCAAGCCTCTCTCTCCTTGCTTCTTCTCGCTGTGTCAAGTTAATTTAGCGCAATGATATTTTCCTTTCATTTAAATTACTAGTTTGAAGTAGGCACGTTTCTGTTATCTCGACGCCGGTTCCACTTCCAAAACATGGACATAACAGGCTTGGCGAGTTAAACGAGGTCGAGATAAGTGGGTTCAACTGTACATATTTAGAAATATTGATCTGTCTGGCTTAATATGCCAAGTGATAAAAATATTTTATTTCTTAATTTTTTTTTAATGGAAAATATTAAACATTTTAGGACCATTCACAAAAGTGTTTTAACTTAATAAATAATAAAATAATTTTTAATAATTTCATATCTATATTGTTTGTTGTTTTTTTATTTGGAGCTGAATATATTTTTTGAGGTACCCAGCTTTGATTAACAGAGATTAAAATCGTTAAAGTGCATACTGGTTAAAATCAGGGTCAATATCAACCAGCTCACAATCATATTTAAAAAAATTGTTTGAAGACTGGCAGTGAAATGTAGTATGTATATATCATCACTTCATCTGGTTATGGTTGACCATGCAGGGTTGACAGGAATATGACATACTTTGCTCTATTGCCTTCTTCTTTGCCTGTTCAACTCCTAGTACTTAACAATTTCTGTCGAATCTTAACTTATTTAAGTTTTACTTTCTCATCTCTGCTGCCACCTAAATTTCTCCATCTCATGCATGGTGCCAGTTGCCAACCAGGGTGTTTTCCTCAGCAAAAAGGAAGTAGTCTTTTGGGTTCGACTGTCAATTAATATTCCCCCTCTTAGGGCCTTCCTTCCCAGACGATAGCGTGCATGGAGTAAAAATATTAGACCCTTTATTTTATTTTCAACTGACATGGATTTGACAGCGGTAATGGGCAGTAACAACAGGGTTAGCTCAGCACCAAATTTTCTAGTAATCAAATTATGTTAAAAATTTTAACCTTTTATTTACTTTTCCAGGCAGAATGGCAAATACATAAAAGTTAACGGGAAGCTTTGTATAAATATGGCAACCTTTAACTTTCTTGGAATGGTTGGAAAAAAAGAATTAGAGGTATAGTTTATAATTTTACTTAGTTATGTGTGAGGATTTTCTCTTTTCTCATGAAATATTTATTGCATTTTGGCAGCTGTCAAAGGCAAAACTTTTAATTTTTAATTTTTTTTATTTTTAAGGACATATTTATTAAATGGTTAGTTATGTGAAATTATTTTTGTAATGTGATTCACCATACTCTATTGTTTAAGGAGAGAGCAGTGAAAGCTTTGAGAGTTTATGGTGTTGGATCGTGTGGTCCAAGAGGCTTTTATGGAACCATGGGTAATCATTATTTTCAATTGAATAAACTGAATTTTATTATCAAATTTTTATGTCCTGTTAGTAATAGCATAAATCTCTTTATCTGTGCTCAGCTATTCAGTTTCTAAAGCTTTGCAAAATAGATAACGTTACTAATCTAATCTCTTGAGGAAAACAGCAGACCGTTGAGCCAGAGCTCATCAGGTCTTCCCCGACATAACCCCTCTTTCCCCCGACCCCAACAGCGCTAACTAGAAGGGTTTGCGAAGCCATACGCCGGAGGCACTCCGCTGCTGAGACCGCTTCCCCACCTCCACTTTATTGACCACGCGAGAGAGAGGCAGCATGAACAAAGGAAACCTGGTCGGCTGGTGCTCTCGCAGCACCTGGAGTCGAACTTTGTAGGGGCTGGGCTGGATGTATTTTAACGTCCCTAAAGCACCCCTTCCCATCCTGGGGTGGCATCAGACGCCCTCTAAGAGGGATTTATACACATGGTTTCTACTTTGTGATATAGTCACATTGTAGGTAGCTGGGATGAAATGGTTGCTTAGGAACAGTCCCCTCACAGATTGTATGATAGAATCATTGGCATGGGTTGCCACAACATGCCTATGCCTCATATCCATTAACGGCAACATGTAATCATATCCCAACCTTTTTCTGGATTTATTTTCAACTGGACTGGGTAGAAACCATGCTCTTTCTGGCACAGATTTCATGCAAGACCTTTATCTCTCATGCGGATGTCCCCTACATGGTGATATTGTGCCCCAGTTAGTACCAGGGGGTTGGTGGCAGTGCCTCTTAATCGGCATGTCATAATGGGACAGAAATGCAGACTAGAGCCCCTGGTAGAAAACATAACTGTATAAATCTAAATGTACATGTGTTACCTTTTTGTTCACAATAAAAAAAAATATTTATACTTATTGGATGCTTGCTATTTCATAGTTTATTTTGCCTTGGTCCTATACAAACAAGTTTTAAAAAATTAAAATAAATTGGCTATTTATACCTGCAGCATTCTGATTAGTGAAATGTTTCTACCTCACTATTTAGATGTACATTTAGAGTTGGAGGATGAACTTGCAAAATTCATGAACTGTGAAGAAGCCATTTTGTATTCTTATGGCTTTGCAACAATAGCCAGTGCTATTCCCGCATACTCCAAAAGGGGAGATATTATATTTGCGTAAGTTATAACAAATGCCTGCTGTTTTTCTATTGTCTTTATGAGGTGATTAGTAGAGCAAACATAAAACATAAGTATTTGAAAAGATTTGGTATTAGAACTTATTCATTCCTTGTTACATCCTTGATTCTCATTAAGGTGACATCTTACAGTATCAAGACTGCTGTCTCAAAGTATATATGTTTTTAAATTTAAAAAAAGTCAGCTAGGTTCTTTTCTGAAAAGAAAAAAAAAATGTTGGATTAAATTGATCCATGTTGGTAGTTTGCAGATTTACGATTCTAAGATGATATTTATCATTACCTATGGTTGGTACTTTTAGCCAGACCAGTTTACCCTCAAACTCTTAAAATCGTACAATATCATGACAAATTCGTTCAATACCGGTACATTATATTTATAGTAAAAAATAAGCATACAATATATACAATCTATACACCTCAAAATCATACATTGTACGCCAAAATCGTAAGAGTAAACAGGTCTGTTTTAGCTATAAGACTATATTTATTAGTAATTGTATTTTTACAAGTTTACTCAATTATATTAATTGTATTTCAGGGATGAAAATGTTGGATTCGCCATCCAGAAAGGACTGATTGCTTCTCGCAGCCACATAAAGTGGTTCAGACACAATGATATGGAGCATCTAGAGTCCTTGCTCATTGAACAAAGCAAGGTTGATAAAAAGGTATTTTTCAGTGTTGTGATTGACATTTGGTGCTTTGTTTTGATTTATTCCAGTAGTGTCAACAGTTTGCACAATATATTTTTTAAGTCTTAAATTATTTTCACATTAACCCATGAGACCGTGGGTATGTTTTTAAAAAAATGATTCAATTGTACTTGTTTAATTTGTAGAATCCTAAAAAGGCTAAAGTAACAAGACGTTTCATTGTTGTGGAAGGGCTTTACCTTAACACTGGTAAAATATGCCCCTTGCCTAAACTGGTAAGTCTCTGTGTCATTACCTAATTCCTTTCTTTAAGACAACTATCATTAGATAATTGTATAAAAATCAGCATTGTTTCTGTATTGTATTTAATATCTTATAATGCCCTCGTGAATAGGTTGAGCTCAAATGGAAGTACAAAGTCCGTATCTTTTTGGAGGAGACAATGTCATTTGGTGTTTTGGGTGACACTGGCCGGGGAGTCACAGAGCATTTTGACATTAACCCAGATCAAATAGACCTTATTGCTGGATCTCTGGAGAATGCCATTGCATCTGTTGGAGGATTTTGTTGTGGCAAAAAATTCATTATTGACCACCAGGTAAGAGTTATTCCTTTGGAGAATTCATTTTCTTGATTGACCCCTGAAGGCTATGTTAAGTAAAAAGAAAAGATTTGGACTGTGATGTAGCTCAAAAGACACATGTTTTGTGTATAGTAGACTAATTTATAATAAAACAAATTTGTTCATACACATAATCTGGGTCTTTAAAAAAAAAACTCGCGAAGAAAAAATGTTAACAATGGTTTGGTCTTTTGTATTGATTCCATGAGATGTAACTTGCAAAAAATACCATTCCTATTTTATATTTGGATACCTTATATTACAGAGATTGTCTGGCCTAGGTTACTGCTTTTCAGCATCACAGCCTCCAATGTTGGCAGCAGCTGCAATAGAGTCATTACATATTCTTAAAGAGCAGCCACGTAAGTAAATTTAATCACTCAATTTATTCCTTCGGTCTATTTTTAAATAACGTCATAAAGTAAATGATTGGTGACAATGAAGGCTGCACTTATTAGTTTTTTTTTGTTTTTTTAATAATCTGAATGTGAACATAATAATCTGAATGTGAACAGAGGCCAATAACTATCTGAATGGAGAGCATAAATAAACGTTGGACACAAGTTTTGTCTATTAAGTCCGAAAGAAGTGTCAAAGTAAGATTTAATTATTATTTATTTTTTTAAACTTTAGGCTTGCTGGTTGATCTAAGAGAAAATTGTGAAAAAGTTCATGAGAAGTTAAGCAAGTAAGTATATTTTAGGCTTCATTAAATATACTTTTATAGATCTTTGGTTATGGAACAAAAGTTCAAGACTTTATATAATTGTGAAAGTCTCTCTTCTATCCACCTGCTTCCCTAATTGTAGAATCGGAAATTCAAAATACTTTATTCGGTGTATGTGATTGCTTACTTCCGATTATTATAGTATTGCAATAGTACACAACCCAATTAAAAAATGGCTCCTAAATTGGAAATCAAACATAAAAAGTATCTAATAAAAGTTTAACAAGTTCAACCATTTTATTATTTTTTTATGTCTAAGTTTTTCTATATATCATGGAGAAATAACAAGTTATGTTATATTAAGAAGAATCTGCCCCCAAATTTTGTATTTTTAGAATCGGTAATTTAAAACCCACCAAATGTTACAAGGATTAAATTCTTTAAATTTGGTTCAAGTTGGAATCTTAGAAACAATTGGAAATGTCAATTTTATATCTTCTCCTCACAAAAACATAGCCATGAGCTTTTTCAACTAATAAAAAATTAGCGCTGGCTAAACTAAAAAATAATATTGATATCCAAGGATACTTTCAGAGGGAAACCCATGACCCACAACCAAATAGGCACTCTCGACAACTGGCCCTTTCAGTATATTGCATATGCTGATGACAGCACTGATAGGGAAAAGTAGTAAAGATATATCAAAAGCTTTTATGGAATTAAAAGTCTCATCATTACACGCAGGACTGGAAGTTAACAACCCAAATAACAAAATAAATGATTATCTTAAGAGAAGAACAGGCAGACTAAAATTAGAAACTACGCTTTTGAAAAAGTGAACTAGTTCAAATACCTAGATCATTATTTAATGAAAGAAATGAATTACTTACAGAAATAAAAGAAAGATTATCAGCTGGAAACGGGGGGGGGGGTACTTCAGTTGTCAAAGAAAATACTCAAAAGTGAAAACATTGCAAGAAAAAAAACAAGGAAAACTATATATAAAACTAATCAGAGCTGTTGCATCATATGCAAGTGAACCTTGAATCCTAACAAAAACGTCAAAAAACCTCCAGAAAATATATGGACCAACAAAGGATGTGAGGATCCCACACTAGAAGAAGAAATTAAATAAAAAAGGGAATCCAAGCATGGGAAAGAAATGCATCTGTTAGGTTTAAGTGGAAGGATGTGGTGAGGCAGGCCAAAGCCCAATGTGGGCTGTAGCGCCACAGGGATGGATTAAATTTGGCTCAAATTGGAATCTTGGAAACAATTAAAAATGTACATTTTCTAAATTCTCCTCATAAAAACATAGCGAGGAGCTTTTAAGTAATAAAAATAAAAAATTGGCGCTTGGTAAACTAAAAAAAATCTACATTGGTACAAAAAAACAAGGCTTTGGAAAAGCCCCAAATATCATATCTAAAACACAAGGATAGGGACACATTTTCAACGAGATGGTGACGATCAAAGAACATGTTTACATCTTACAGAAAATAAAAGCTTATGAACAATCCTATTAATTAAATGATTTAATTCAAGATTCCAGGCTCACAAAACCTCAACATTTTTCATTGAATATTGCATAGAAAATAATTATTGTTTGTTTTCCAACCAAGCTTATCCAGTATCAAAATTTTTGGTGATGCAATTTCACCTATTAAGCACCTGTACTTGACAGAGCCGGCATCTGACCGAGAATTCGACTTAAGAACCTTAGAGAATGTAGTTGATTATGTAAGTAAAGAGAGCGTTTTTTATGACATTTATTTATATCTTTTCAGTTGCATTACCTTTATAAGTAACACAATTAATTTTTTTCAAGCTGATTTTTTATAAAATTCTATAGGCTGTATGAGTTTACAATCAACTTCCATGTTTATGTTCCGACTATTAACCTGACATATTAACTAAAAAATCATTTGTTTCCCCCCATCCAGGCAATGAATGAAGGTGTTGCTTTGACAGTTGCCCGTTACCTTGACCCAGAGGAAAACAACTTGATGCCACCAAGGTAAGGCAAAACATACATTTATTTCTACTAATTATTTGAAAAATGGCACCTTTAAAGATAGAAGAATGTCAAAAAGTCTTTTAAAATTAACATTGCCTGGCAAAAAAATATACAAATTGGGGAACTTTTGCTCAAAAATGTATTTCTTAAATGATGCTAGAGAGACAATTTTATTCCCCTGATGTCATCTCTCAGACCCATTTCTGTTTTTAATTTGATGTATAGTAACTTTTTCCCCCTTCATTTTTTCTATTACATTTTTACTCACCAGTTTACACCCAATTTATTGTTTTAGCATTCGTCTGACTGTAAACTGTGATCTGACAGATGAAGAGATCAACAAAGTGGTGCAGGTTATATCCAGTGGTTTTAGAGAAGTCCTCAAGAAACTGAGGTATATTTTTCTTGACAAAGTACTGGACCTTGCAAATATGCTAATGTTAACAATAAGGGCTTGAGATGTTCTTATGCCTTGTCATATTATCTTGACTCATAAATGGTGGGCATCATCATCCAGATCCATTAGGGCATGTGCCCATGAATGGTGGTGACAAGGGTTAGCTACAATCTTCTCATCTCGCATCAAGTGGTCATGGAACACGAATGGATGAGATTTCTTCTGGCGACAACTTTCTGTCAATGTACCCTACAAGCTGGGCACAGAAACCGAACAATAAACCGGGGCACAAAAGAAATCTGTCGGAACTAAAACAAAATTCTTGTAATTGGCAATTGAAACTCATATAAACTGACATTTTCTCTCAACGCTATTTTAGCACTGGCATGAAGCACTAAAATGACTTCACTTTGTGCCAATCCATGTGAGGTTGATATCTTACTAAAAATCTCTCTCTAACGCAGTGCTCTAAATATCCAAATGGGCTACAGGAGAATGATTCAGTAGCCCAAGGGCCTCAATGCAATTCATAATTTTATTATTAAGCCTTGAACCTTATTACAATGAGAAATATGGTACAAAAATATCTTTGCATGCTGCATTAGAGAACTGGGGCTTTAAATTGAGACCTCTTGCTCTAGTGCAGGGGTTCTCAACCTGTTTGACTCCCTGAGCCCTTTTTAGAATCAATATCTTTGTGGAAGCTCCTTAGGCCTACCTTTTGTCTAACAAGTTAATGGTTATTTGAAAATCCCGGGTCTCCTGAGTATTTCACACAGAGCACAGGTTGGGTACCACAGCTTAATCCTGCCAATCTTTCATGTCCGCCAAGCATATTTAACTAGTTTATTTCCTATCGTGCCAAAGCAATGAAAATTAAATGTTTCAAAATAGTTTTAATTTCATGCAAACGGCTTGTTGTTTTTTTTAGCTCACATATTAAACAAGTATATATTTTTTTTCCCAACACATTTTATCCAAGAATGAAGTTTTATCCTCAAACTTATTCTCTTTTTCAGTTCAGTTGACATGTCCAGCCCATTGGACTCTGTAGAACAAGGAGATGGTGAGCAGAGAGCATCAAGATAAATAGTTTCATCTGTTACTGACCTTTTTCATGTCATTTCTGAATGGATTTTGTGTCTGGTTTTGAATGGGCTTTTAAAAAAAACAAACCCTGCACCTGTTAAGTAATTCATATTTTATATTATTTTTATATTTTTAGGAGGAAAAATATCACTTTTGTTTAATTGAAGTACGAAATTATATTATTAAAACTTGGGAACCTTATAGTAACATTCAAGTTTTAAGAACATTTGGAATTTTATTAATTTCTTACTTAAGTTATCTGTTTTTTTTAATGCACCTGAGTTAACAAAAGAGCAATCGACAAAAATATCAATTATTTATTCAGCTTTGTCATCAGTATAATTTATAATTTATGTTGATTCTTGAATGTGATAGACCGGACAGTGCTGTGAGTTTATCTGTAAATATTACAGAAGAGCTTTAGTGGAAATTCTTGTGGGCTAATATTAACTGCTCCATGCATGAAAGTTCAATGACAGCTTATGTGATTGAAAGGTTATGGTGTGAGAACTTAAAATTTTTAAAACACATAAGACTTAGCTAAGTAATGTTAAGTACTTTATTTATTTTGCTATATATTTTTGTAAATGTTTGATTGAGAGACACTATTTTAAATTAAGGGATCAATATTGCCTCACTTATGTCCCCATCTGGCTATTAACGATATTTAATCAGATTATTTGGTTTTTTAAAAATGACCAAGAGATTTCTGAAGTTTTTTGTTTTGATCGCAATGCTGTGTGAGTTTGAGATCATGGATGAATTTTTCCTCACTTGTCCAGCACGGTGGTCAGGGAATAAGATTTTTTACTGTCATCCAACAAGAGTTTGTATCAAAATTCATTGAGAATGTAACAGAAGAGAAGTAAAAATGGTAAGGGTCATACCCACACATTGAGAAGTAAAAATGTTAAGGGTTATACCCACACACAAGATTCCCTAACATATTAAATGTTTATTGATTTCCTTGAATTTTTGGAAATATGTGAGAGATGGGGATGTCAAAAACTTGATTGAGAAAGTCATATAAATCTATCTTCATGAGAAAGTCATAGAAATCTATCTTCATGAGAATGTCATATAAATCTATCTTCATGAGAATGTCATATAAATCTATCTTCATGAGAAAGTCATATAAATCTATCTTCATGAGAATGTCATATAAATCTATCTTCATGAGAAAGTCATATAAATCTATCTTCATGAGAAAGTCATATAAATCTATCTTCATGAGAAAGTCATATAAATCTATCTTCATGAGAATGTCATATAAATCTATCTTCATGAGAAAGTCATATAAATCTATCTTCATGAGAATGTCATATAAATCTATCTTCATGAGAAAGTCATATAAATCTATCTTCATGAGAAAGTCATATAAATCTATCTTCATGAGAAAGTCATATAAATCTATCTTCATGAGAATGTCATATAAATCTATCTTCATGAGAAAGTCATATAAATCTATCTTCATGAGAATGTCATATAAATCTATCTTCATGAGAAAGTCATATAAATCTATCTTCATGAGAAAGTCATATAAATCTATCTTCATGAGAAAGTCATATAAATCTATCTTCATGAGAATGTCATATCTGCCTCAAAATCAACAATGGCACTTACTTGCACATTAAAAATAATTACATTGACTTCATGATTTTGTAATACGTTTATATTATATTTACTTTTTTACAAATTGGGATTAAAATATGTACAGTATACAGTCGTCCTTCGTTTATCGCGGTTAAACAGTTCCAGATTACCGCGATAAGTGAATTTCCGCGAAGTAGGATCCCTTATTTATAAATAGAATATTTTCGAAGTTCATGACCCTGCAAATTCATTTCTTTAACATTATTATACCATCTGGGGTGCTTGAATACATAGACCTACAGTCTATAGTTACAGCAATTTTAATAGTAAGACATGGGTTATAATTGACTGAGACAGCCGAGGCCGCACTGTATCATTTTTACTATCTCTATCAAATTTTTAATAAAAACTTTATAATTAGGGGAAAAAAACCACATCAGCATCGAAAGTCAAAACGCAAAGTGGGGAGGGGCGACTGTATTTGAAAGGATGAACTTAAGTCTTAAAAGCAAGGTATTCTGTCAAATGGGAAATTAAAAAATGTTCATTATGATATGACGTGAGATGTTTGTCATTGCCACCATCTTCTTATAGAATATTAGCTGAATAAGAATTTAAGCTTTTAAAGTCTGCAAGGATGATTTCTCTTGCACATTTTCAAGTGCCAGACAGGCCTTGTGTATTATCAGATGAATTATTTTTCTAAGTAAATTAAAATTAAACATTTAGATTCTAAAGAAAAATGTTCCATTATTTGAATAAATTATACAGATAATTTTCTAAATATTTTTTTTACTAGTTATTTTCAATAGACCTATTGTTATGTGGTCCATGACCTTGGCGTTGTTGAAATTTGAACCACTGGCTCAGTGCTGTGTGGACTGGATCATTGCTAAAAGTTCAAGCTTCACGCCGATACTGATATTGTAAGGCTGTGAAGATTAATCTGTTGTTTGAAAGCTTGGCCCACTCAACATTGAAGATGATTTTCTTTTTAATATAACTTGGAACTGGGTCCCTACTTATGTTTTTAAAAGGTTGTTTTAATGTAAATATGAACCGTAAGCTCACATTTGTCCATATTGAGAATATAATTTTATTGGCTAAAATTGTATCTGCGTGACCATGTTCTTTTCTTTAAACAATATATTTTCTTAAAACCATTTTCACCCCCTTTTATTCTATTTGACATGAACAGTTTGTCTGTATGTCGCAGATTTTTTTAAGGCCATTTACAACCCACTTGCCCCATATCCTAACTTTGGAAAGCTGGTTAATCCGGTCTTCCTTTCTTCCTTTTACATCTATTTAGGAATAACATAAATAATTATTTTAAAAGATGAGGAATCAACTATTTCAATTATATTGTAATTACTTCTCTAGAAAATGATTGGGCTAAAAAGCTAAACTTCTATTTATTCTGGTGGCAATGTGTAAACAAAAAAAGGGGGGGGGGTGTACTTAAATATTTTTTGTGTGTGTTTTTTTTCAATTGTTTGCAAATGTTCTTATTCCAGATGTACCTAGGTAAGCTTATTTTGTGGTTGTCGTGTAATACAGAACATGGCCAACATGACGTATGTATGTAGGTATGTTATTTGTTGCTGCTCTACGGTGGCATAACAGATCTACATATCTTGCTGATCACTGCCCATCTGAGCAGAGCCAGGCCATTTTTAAAAAAATAAACTTGTGAATGTTTTTGTTTTCCAATGGACTATTTCAATAACTTGCAACAGCCTGTAGAAGTTGAGATGCTTTGAAAATACAGGGCCATTCTCATAATATGCTTGGACAGTCGAGATGCTTTGAAAATACAGGGCCATTCTCATAATATGCCTGGACAGTCGACTAGAAATATAAGACTTGTGGAGCACCATCCAAAATGGCCTATTGAAATTTGGACATAATCTGGCCTGTTGACATGAGGACATGAAGGAATATTTATTGGAAGGTGGCCAGCCTCGTGTTGGCAAAGGCATATTTTGTATTGTAACCTGATGATTGGTCATGGTCAAGTGATTCAGGCAAGATGTCAAACGGCCTTTGTCGCATCTTGTCCAGGAGATGCACATGGTTGAGACCCCCCTTCATCAGAGCATTAGTATTTGTTCTAGACTTTTATTACAATGCCACAATTTTGTAGCGTTCTAGCTTAGTCTTAAATTTTAAGTAAGAGCAGTACAAGTTAACTGTAATAAGTCATGGTTCTGTACAAATGTTTGACATATCATTATCAGTAACATTTGTGTCGTTTTATTTTGGTAATATACCTGGTACTTCAGTTTGGGAAGAACAATGGAATAATTTCTTAAAATTAATTAATGTTATATTTTCCATATTGAAATGAACAGGGTTTAAAATTTAGGTGATCCAAGGCCATGGAGAGGAAAAAAAAAGCTTTTCTGTCAAAAATTAAAATTTGATATACATAAGACTTAATCCATGGCAGGTTTGTATACAAGCCTTGCAGGTTTATGAACAAATCTCTCATTGAATGCTGCCTCAGACAAGAGTATTGATCCAGTAACAATGGTCTCAGACTTAACAATTCTATCATTAGAAATTGCATTAGGTAGGTGTTTGTGTGATGAATTCAGATTTGATTATATTATTTTTTAAAATTATTTTTTGTTTACTTTTGTATAACACAATAAAGTCATGATTTTTACAATTTTTCAACCATTTTTTGGAGCTACAGTTGTGTTATTATTACAATTTATATGTGTAGTCTACTTTATAACAAGTTTCATTGTTGAACAGTACTTAATAAAGAACTTGAGCTCTCATATTCGTCAATTTAAACACACACAGGTAGCATTTCCCCTAAATTACAATATGGAAATGAAAAATACAAGTAAATAAAAAAAAGCTTTCTTCATTTTAAATTTATTTTCATGTATACCGATAGTTATATCTTGGGAATTCCCCCAAAAGCTATAAGTTATCCCTTAATGCAGTGGTCGGAAAACTCAGTTACCAAAAGAGCCAAAAATCAACAGCAGGACGATTAAAAAATTTGAGAGCCACATATTTTTTTCAAGAACTTATCAAGAACCAAGCTTTTCGGAGTCAAAATCGATTTCTGGCCAACTGGCCGAGCCGCACTCAGGTCCCTAAAGAGCCGCATGCGGCTCGCGAACCGCGATTTGCCGACAACTGCTTTAAGGACCTTGTGTTCAGTGGTACTGAGTGAATCTCTGGATTAGAGGCCGACTGAATTTCGGCTTCGGTTTCGGCGCCGAAAGTAGCCATTTTATCACTTTCGGCCAAGTTTCGGTTTCGGCCGAAACTGGAAAGTTAACTTTCGGCTTAATTTCGGTTTCGGTCGAAAGAGAAAAGTTAACTTTCGGTTTTTCTTCGGTTTCGGCCGAAATAGACTTTTGGTCATTTAATACTAAGCGAAAGCGATATTTTACAACAAACTAAGCGACATTAAAGAACAAATTAAGCGATCTTTGAGAACAAACTAAATGATATTTAACAACAAACTAAACGACATTTATGAACAAACTAAACGATCTTTAAAACAAACTAAGCGATCTTTAAGAACTATCTAAGCGATCTTTAATAACAAACTAAACGATCTTAAAGAACAAACTAAACGATTTTTAAGACCGAACTAAATGATCTTTAAGAACAAAACAAATGATATTTAATGATTTATAAGAATAAACTAAGCGATCTTTAACAGAAGACTAAATGTTCTTTAAAAACAAACTGAAAGATCTTTAAGAACAAATAAAAGCGATCATTGACAAAAACTAGACGATCTTTAACAACAAACTAATGCGATCTTTAACAAAAAACTAAACGATATTTTTTATAACAAACTAAGCTTTCTTTAAGGACAAATTAAGCGATCTTTAAGATTAAACAAAGCGATATTTTAGAACAATCTAAGCGATCTTTATGAACAAACTCACCGATCTTTAAAAACAAACTAAACGATCTTTAACAACAAACTAAACGATATTTTACAACAAACTAAACGATCTTTAACAACAAACTAAACGATCTTTAACAACAAACTAAACGATCTTTAACAACAAACTAAACGATCTTTAACAACAAACTAAACGATCTTTAACAACAAACTAAGCGATCTTTAACAACAAACTAAGCGATCTTTTAGAACAATCTAAGCGATCTTTATGAACAAACTCACCGATCTTTAACAACAAACTAACCGATCAATAACAACCAATTAAACGGTCTTTAACAACAAACTAAGCGATCTTTAAGAACAAATTAAGTGATCTTTTAGAACCACATTTTTTAGAGACCCGG